TCTCCCCTCAGAAATCCGTCCTGGATGCCTGTGGCCGAAACGCGTCCAGATGCAGCTCCTGGGACACGAACTGGAGCAGGATAGAGAAGGGGAACAAAGGAGTTCAGAACGACTATTGGTGACTATGATTGGGGGGTGGTTGGTGATGAGTGGCCAGATTTCTCTGTGGAGACAGGATTTTGCGGCAAGATAGAGAAGGAAAACAAAGGTACTAGTTAGGAGTTCGAGGCAAGAACTGGAGACAGTACTGAAAAGGAAGGGACAGTACAGCAGTACAAAGAAAACCAAATTAAAGAAAGCCTGAAATTATGAAAGAACGGAAAAAAGTAACGAAAAAAAAGTACCTATGAATAAAAGCCGAAGAAAGTTAAAGCAAATAAAAATTGAGAAAGCAGAAGCAAAAAATAAGTAAAAAACTTAGCAAAAGGAAAAACTTATGAGTGGAAATTGCCTTATAAAAGCCCTGCGGTATTGGGCTCCCCTGTTTATGAAGCTGATGTTTAGGATAAAACTGGGGGCTCTTAGCTTACGCAGTTTTACCTTATTCGCTTTCAGCTTTACCTAATCATCAGCTTCATAAATGTGGAAATCCCCTACTGATGGTAGGTTTTTCTTTTGCTTTTACTTTTTTTTTGCTTTAATCTCACTTTTTTGATTTTGGTTTTATTCCTGCTCCCAGGCTTGCTTTAATTTTTTTTTTTCCGTAATGCTTCGTTTTCTCTTCCCCTTTACTGCTGCTTGCAGTTTTTGCCTCGAAATTCTGACTTGTGTTTTCGTTCCGTTTCTTTCCTCTGTCCAGAAATCCTCCCTGCAACACAAAACCTGAGCTTTTGTCCGTCCCCACTATAAGAGTGCCCTGGAAGCAGGCATTATTTCAGCCGCTTCCCTATCTCGGGTACCCGCGCCATAAACCAGGAGCACACTTATCCATTGCCTCTCCTTCTTCCCTTTCCCTCCGCTCCCCCATACATGGTCTAGGCAACTGCCAAAGGATCTACGCCAGATAGTCATTTAACCCGCCCGCACAACCCTCTCCTCCTGTTTCGGTTCTCGAGCGCGAAACCCGCACACACCACGCCCTCACACCCACCCTAACCTCTCC